AGTGTGTGTGTGTGTGTGTGTGTGTGTGTGTGTGTGTGTGTGTGTGTGTGTGTGTGTGTTTGTTTCGGTCAGTAAATGAATATGGTTTAAAGAATGTGCTTATAAAACTGCATCATCATCATCTTCATCATCATCATCATCATCATCATCATCATCATCATCATCATCATCATCATCATCATCATCATCATCATCATTCGTTTCCGTTCGTCTTTCAACAGACGAACCCTTCTATGGGCTGACGAGACGCTGGACGGAGCACTCAAATGTCCCACTTGTAGAGTTGAAATATTCCTGGCCCGGATCAAGATCAAAGAACTTCCCAACGATCACAGAGTTGTACAAATGATTGACTTCTTGTCCCAAGCCGTCGCAAAATCACACAACGTATGCTCAAAACACGAACGTCAGCCTTTGAACTTTTTCTGCAAGAAGTGCCTCGTGCCTGTTTGTCGAGATTGCACTGTCTTAGACCACAAAGAAACTGAAGGTCATAATATTACGGATGTTTCAGAAGCCTTGAACGACAATTCAGCACAGTTCACGGAGATTGAAAACAACAGCAGACTGACACTTGAGAAGATGAAAGCTAGGTCAGATGCGCTCGCAAACGCCTCAAAGAGCTTGGACATTTTGGATCGTCGACTAAAGAGCGAAATTAAAGAGACATTTATAGAGTATCGCCTTCTTCTCGAAAAACGCCAAGAGGCTCTCACTTCTATGGTGCACCAAATTGTGAAAGATCAAAAAGCGCTCATCAACACTCGCTTCGTTGAGGTCTGCGAACATGGTACGCAACTACAAAAACTTTACGACGAGTTTAAGGCTTCTAAAAACAGCAACGACATTCGAAAGCTATTCACCATCAATCAGGAAATGAAAGACCACGAAGCGAAGTTCACAGAAGTGGCGTCACAAGAGGACACAGAACTGTTTCAGTCATGTGAATTCGAGGCTCAGAACGATTGTGCCTTTCTCACCGACATGAGCAGTCTGGGGGAAGTAAGGCAGAAGGCGGATCCTGGCCTCAAGGAACCGGTGAGTGCTCATCAGTTGGTCTATCTTGACATGGAGGAACAGAGGGAGAGACAGAGGCGGATCGACAATCAAATAGGAAACTACGGGGACTGTGATGAAGCGTTCGTGCGGGGAGCGAACATTGAGGCTGGGGGTAAGTGTGTTTTGCCGTCGACGTAATACATGTGTGTGTGTGTGTGCCTGGAGAAGGGTCCCTTTTGTTTTAGTAGGTGTTTTACGGCACTCGCAACACAATAAGATCATATAAGTGCCGAAGATTAGAGGTGTTACAAGAGAGTAACAAACACAAAAAAGGAAGGGAAATAGAGACGATATATGTTTGATAGGAAAGAAGAAGCAGCAAACCACACCAGAGCACCCGCCAACCATCCACTAAGGTCCCTTTGTCGGAAATCTTGGATAATCAAATAAGGGCATATTCCTGGAGCAAACTCAGTGCGAAACACGCTGATTTTCACATTTTCTAAGGTCTTGAGTAGTATTAAAGATTTGCCACAGTTTGTACGTAACACTTGGTGTAAAAAGGAAATTTTGAGTTCATTGTTGGCGAATTACAACACGTTGCGAAAAATAAATATCATACAATCTTTTGATTAGTTTATTTATAAAAATTGTTTTTTTAATGGAAATAAACATTTGTCCAGATACGACTTTTCGGGCCGTTTCATCCCGTTACTCCAAAATAGCTTTGCCGACAACTCGGACCTTTCTCAAGGTACATTACATATTGTTTGTTTGTTCTGTCTTGTGTTTTGTCTTTTGTTTTGTCTGTTGTTTTGTTTTGTTTTTTTGTTTGGGTTTGTGTTGGGGGGTTTTTGAAGATCGGAGGGTTGTTTTTTTATGGTTGGGTTTTTTTAATTATTTTGTTTTTATACCCCCATCAATACAATTTGGGTCCCTTAGGAAGTTAGGAGGCGGGCTCCGACCCTGCTTGTTTGCCAGGGCCGACCCAGGCTGAGATGGACATAACATCCCAGTAGAAAGACCCAGATACTCGATAAAAAATGTTAACCTATTCGGCATTCGAACTGGGATCTCCTGTGTGCGACGACAAAGGGCTTGACCATTTATCACAGGTGGCGATACTATTGTGGTCGTTATTGCTGTCGTTACTGTTTTTAAAATTTAGAACCATTTGTGTATGGTGGGGTTTTGCATAGATCTACACTCCCTCTCGACACTCTTGCTCCGATGCGAAAAGAGGAAATTGTGCGTGTGTTTGGGAGGAGAGGGGGGGGGGCATTTAGCACAGAGATACTAAAGGGACACAGAGAGGAAAGGTACATAATACACCGACGTCATTTATGTATTAGTTTTCCCACTTTTTAGGGAGGTTTCACTTTTCGCTGGCGTGGAATGTGTAATAATAACCCCCATCCCAACCCTTTTTTTTCTCACTCACTCATCTATAGGCAAGATGTTGAATGGACACATGCACACTGAAGAAAATGATTTTACCCCAGGTCTGGACTTTCTGTTTGTACATTCTGTGTTTTACATTTTTCATATTACCCCCACCACCACACCAAACTTCATCCCTCAATTCGGAACTAATTTGACTTGGTATGCACATCTGGGGTTTCATTATCAGTGAGGCCGTATTTGGGTCTTCATGACGCCATGCAAGGAAGACACTTGTTAATTCTTTTTTTATGTACCGTAGGTGTTTTTGTATGCCCACCCCCCCCCCCCCCCAAAAAAAAAAAAACAACCAACCAAACAAACAAACACACCAAAAAAAAAATCGACACAATTTAGATCATTTACTTGATTAAGGAGGCGATCTTCGACCCTGACTGTCAGGGCCAACCAGGGTTGAAAGGTTTTGAGTTTATGTTTATTAAGTAAACATGCACATCGACACTATAACTAATGGTCATTTAGTGCTGGGGAAAGAGTGAATCAAACGAACAGAAACAACAGAGACACCCAGAGAAAGTAAAAAGTAGGACCCACTAGTTGCGCCCTCCAACCACCCGCAGGGCACTGAGAGGGATTAAGACATATTTTTTTTAAATCTAACTATTTCAAGAATGGGGATGGAAACTAAATTAAAGTTTACCCAACACTGTACCCCAGGCTTTGACCACCATCACTACGAGGACAGTGACGAGGCAGGCGAGGCAGGCGAGGCAGACGACCCGCGGGGCGACATCCCTCACCTGGAAGTCTCCCGCCTCATCTCTCGGTACATGCGCGAGGTGCACCTCCACGAGGACATGGAGGGCCACGAGGGCGCCACGGGATCTAGGAACCGGCGGAGCTACGACGCGACCCCCAGGCGCGGTCGTCGGAACAGGGACACCAACAGCTCACAGGTCAGCCAGTATGAAGAATTTGTGAGAGAACGTGATGAAATCAGGCGTTCGTCTTATGTAATCACGGTATTCGGCATTTTTCTGGCGGTTAGCCTTTTTTTTCGTCCTGTCTTTCTTTCTTTCTTTCTCTATTTTTTTTTTTTTTTTTTTTTTTTTTAGGGGGGAGGGGTCTCATCGCCTTCTATGTCCATTTAAGAACACATTTCTCCTTGGATTTTACTGAAAAATGTCGATCAAAGGCATAGAAAATGTAAATTTCCAGTTTCCAAGGATACTCAAGCTTTGGAAATCAACTTTGACAGCCATTTCTCCCTAATTTTACCTCTGACAGCAGACGACCCCTAAATACTTCAATCGCAAATTTATTGACTTCTATAGAAAATAGAGGGGTATTTTCTTCGCCCAAAGCTAGACAAATCAGCGAGCTTTGAGATGATACATATAACTCCATATGCCCAAAATTGACAAGCTCCTGATTCCACCACGTATTGACACATTTGTATTTGTTCTGTGTGCTTACTTGTTTGCGTAAAGAGAAGGACATCAACGCAATGATGGTCATAACATTTACACGTTTCATTTATTACTAAAGCCCGGTGTATTTTAAGCAGGTGGTTGTCTGGTGGTCTTGCTTCTTTTTCTTTACATGTACATGTATTACTATTATCCTTATGTCACTGGCAAAAACATGTAGCTTTCTTGTGCAAGAAAAGACACGCCTGTATTTGACCTATATTCAGTTTCTAATTTGAGTACATATAGAAATGTTTGTGCAGCAGCCTCTTTCTTGCTAGAACAGGCAGAGAAAGAAATGGAAGTGTACGTGTTTGAGAACACAGGAGGTTCAAGTTAAATATTGTCCCTTGCAATGACCGTTAGAAGTACAAGCATATATGAATTTGAAAGTGTGTTATCAAACTCAAATTGCATGCAGTTTAAATTCATTTTATAAAGTTGTTTCTAACATTTCTCTTTCTCCATTTCCAGGTGTCCAGTTCATTAGCAATGCAGTCCCCCTCAGATTTTCTGAGGGCCGCCAGAGCAGCAGAAGTAGGAAACGGAAGTAGTTCTTCTTCTTCTAGCGGATATCCCCGGCCAGGCAGTCGGAGCAGAAGTGGTGCGTCCACCAATTACAGGGTGGTACGTCATCAGAATGCCATGCGGCAGCAGGGAGGCCATTCCCCGGAAGATTCAAACTGAACAAGTCTCTGTCCACCAACGATACACACACGCACATCAGAATACAATTGAAATATCGATGGATTTACGCTATACTGAGTGAATGTTTGATTGTGAACTTGCAGTGCATGCAAATGCTAGCTTGCAGCTTACAATTACAGTGAAGTGTGACCTCTGCATTTCGCCAGAAACAGACAATAAAAAAACCCATAAACATTCTACTGAAGCAGGAGAAGCAGACTACACAAGGGTGCCAACCAACCACCTGCACTATTATCAACACACCACGATGACGTCAGAAACTTCAAAATGGACGAATTTCGAATGTCGACCAGTCAGAATCATGTCACAAGATCCAAGCCGGGCACTGGGCACATAAGCAATATATTATTATACACAATCCACGACTCCCGTCCCAACATAACAATAACACTGAAGCAGAGAAGTTGTATACTGCAGCCAGTTTGCCAAAATGTATGCTCACTCATTGTCGAGCAACTGACGATATGATATGTATACATGACACAGTGCTCAACTCAAACCGAAAAAGTGTTGGTGTAAGAATACAATTACTTTACTTTGTATGCCAAATTAATGCTGTATCAACTGACAATGTCTCGCGGATGTCGGATATTTCAGACTGGACAATTATTTACGAACGAATAATGAAAAAACAATTTACCTATCTCCCTGTCACGAATCACAATATTAATCTATTGATTCTGGAAACAGATCAGACATAAAAAATTAAGAGGAATTTAAGAAAATTTCAGTGTGATATGAGATTTTTAAATATTTAAATTGATAATGTTACATCGGCACAACTAGTGCTGTCATCTGATATCTAGATCTATGTTAGTTTGAAGATTCAAATAGATTCATTTTCCTCAGTATGAGAATGTTATTTTCTTTATGCCCTTGCTCAACCTGTGTTTGTGCTTTGCCAATGGACAGTAGATATTTAAAACCGGCCTAATTTTTGCATTCTAAGAGATAATAATTTATCAAAGCCCCAGCACGTGCCAAGCTGGTGCTGTGCCAGTCAGCAATAAGAATAAGATGCATATTTACTATTGTACTTAATATACAGCTTAAGTAGGTAAAGTAGGCATGAGTCCATGAAATCATATAAGAAGATCATGTGGTGAGCAGAATGTCCCGATTCCAATCTCCAAATTTATAGTTGTTCAGTAGGGGAAAAAAAGTAAAAATTGTTTGAACAGAAGAATGCCAACACATTGTCGGCTTCAAAATGCCATGATTACAAAGCTATCCCAACTGCAAAAACATAAGAAAGGTAATAAAGATAAGGAAGCAAAAATCACCAGACCTGGGTTTGTTTCTTATCTTACTCATACCTGTACTACGTAATCTACACAATCTTATTCTAACCTTTCAGAACAGTAGGCTATATCATGACTATATCATTATTTCTAAGCAGCTCGCGGGAAAGAAACTTTTGTCAAAGGGCATTCTTTAGAGTGGAAACCGTCCACCTATGCATACTACAGCTACTATAAATGTTATATTCCAGGCACTTGTTATATTTGCTCATTGTCTCAAGTTCTCTGATACTCCAAGCAATTGGTATATGTAGGCTACAACTGTTAACTGTTAACTGATAAATGCATGATGATGTGTAAAAGTTTGGGTTTTTTTGGTGAGTTGAAAAAAGGGAATGTGCCTGCAACACCAATTACTCAAAATCAAAATAAATTAGAGTGCCAGGAAAATAATGTAAGGTATTAAAAATGTAATGCGTGGAATAACACTGGAATGGACTGCTTTTATGTTGGATGATTGGGGGGGGGGGGAGTGACTCTTTCATTCTTTTCAACACAACACTGTTAGAGACAGATCTAAGATAAATGCATAACATGGCCACAGAAAGAGAGAGAGAGAGAGAGAGAGAGAGAGGGAGAGAGAGAGAGAGAGAGAGAGAGAGAGAGAGAGAGAGAGAGAGAGAGAGAGAGAGAGAGAGAGAGAGAGAGAGAGAGACTATAAACTGGCCTCTATGTGTGCTTTTTGTAGGCATTATTGCCAATGCTAGTCACATGCACACAATCAAAGTATTTGTCCTTGAGAAAGGACTCAAGACACAAGAGGGGCATTTCAAAATACCGTTTCATTTTGTTTTGTCATTAAATTCTTTCGTAGTTTCTTTTGGAAAAATAACAAGAGTCCAAGTCACCGTTCTGATTTGGGTGCTCTTATTTTTACTTAAATATTTTCAAAAAATTATTTTAAAATGGCTTGGGCATTTGTGGAAAGAAACAGACAATATGTAGATGTAGTATACAATAGCTGAGACAAAACTGTGATGCATTCAAAAACATTAAGAAGAAAAGCCTAAATCTGATTTTTTTTAAAATCAACAAGAAATGGGGTAAATCACTTTGGGACACAGTTCAACAATCACTTTCAATTTGCCACAAAAGAACTCCCCCTACAATTAAAGAAAGAACAACTCTCTTGTTTCTTTCCTTGCATCTTGCCATGCTTTTTTCTGTTCTCAACCCTTGTCTCTATGAGTCTATGTACGATTTTGTCAGTATTATAATTTCATGACCTGACAAAATGAAATACACATGAACAGACATTTCTTGAACTGTGATTCCTGTAAGTTTATGAACTTGTGTGTTTCATCGCAATAGCTGCCAACAGACTTTTTCTCATTGATTGAGGAATGGACAATCTTCCTCTGAGCACATCCGGTACTGTGTTGCCTGGTTCTTTGCTCTTGTGACTGTGACTTATCAAACACAAGTTTAACTACGCCTCAGCTGGAACTGTATTTTAATTTACTGTTATGTCTGTTTTTACTTATTGATTTATGAAAATGATTCTGCGCTAATAAACTTTCAACATGCTAGAAGTGCATTTGTTGGTTTTTTTGTCTTATTCTCAGAAAACCTTTCTATATTCTGTACATTATGGAAAAGCCACAGACGAATAATTTGAATTTTTCCTTGCCAAAAACTATTACATTTTTCAACAAAATCATTTGTATATACAGTATTGGGGAATATACAACAAAACTTCGAAAAACAGAAAGACGGAAAATAGGTAAGATCCTCAAGTGATATAAGCAGACCTAAAAGCTCTCCGGTGCTGTAACTCCAACCCCCAGGACACCTGACCTCCAACCATCCGAGTATCAAATCTCCAACATTCCTCATGCTAGAAAAGGCCATGACCATCTGTGCAATTACAATAAGAGTAGCCCGCATGCCTTGCACATATGCAAGATAACACATAGAGTTCGAGGGGGGTTAATGCAGGTGTTTTTACGCCATTGACACAATTTAGATCATTTAGGAGACGTGCTTACGGTCCTTTTCCTGTCAGGGCCAACCCAGGCTGAGAGGAATACAACATCCCAACAGAGAGACCAAGATACTCTATAAAAATTTCGTCCCACTTGGGAATCGAACTCGGGTCTCCTATGAGCGACAGGAAAACGCCTAACTACTACACCATATATGCTGGTTAAAATAGAGTGATTATTTGAGTAAAAGAGAAGCACATGGACATCATAGAGGTTTAGTGCAAAGAAATACACGTACAAAAACCGACAGATAAAAACAGTAAACAAATAGTAAAGAGATGTGAGGCATGCCGACAAAACTTGTTACTTCTCGCAATCCACAAATGAAGATTTTGGCCCCAAATCGACACTAGGGTCAAATTAGTAGATTTTCTATTACATTTACTGCCATTTTCTATAAGTATAACATTCCTTTTATTATTTCAATTTCATAAGTTATAATTTGTAAAAACTTCACCTATAAGCATGATGTATCTATTTCCATAGGGCTAGAATCCGAGAAGTAACTCATTTTGTCAGCACGCTTCACAAATGGGTGTTGTCAGGGGCACCTTTAATGTTTGAATATATATAGATGTTTCTATGCCCCTATTGACACAATTTAGATAACTTACAGGGTGGATTTTGACCCTGCCTGTCGTCAAGACCAACCTGGGCTGAGAGGGATACGACTGAATAGTAGAAAGATTTTAGACAATAAAAATTCTACCTATACAGGAATTGAAACTCAGGTCTTCTGTGTGTGAAGGTTAGGCCCCCAACCACTACACCACAGACACCAGTCAAGTGGCACTGTTCAGTCACTTGAATATACAGTGAAAAAAGAAAAACCCAAGTACAGGGTACATAAAGTTTTTTTTGTTTTCTAGTAGAGATTTTACGGCGCTCGCAACTGCGTAAGGTCATAATATGAGCGCCACAAGATTAGAGGTGTTACAAAAGAGTAACAATCATAAAAAAGAAGAAGGGGAGATAAAGACAATAGATGTTTGAAAGGAAAGAAGAAGCAAACCACACAAGAGCACCCGCCAACCACCCACAAGTTTCAACCTGATGTGTCAGCTTGTAGAAAATAAACAAAATGGAATGCTGCAAATAAATAAGTTAAAGAGACTGTTATTGATTTACATTTTATTATTTTTCTGCACAATTTGACAGCGTCTTTACGTTTAAAAATCATACCTAATTGGAAACTAGAACATTCCAACATCAATGACGGAAAGCTGAGTCAAAAACAGATGCTTAGTAACTACCAAAGATGAATGAGAAGGGAAAAGGGGTAGAGTGTATGAGAGGTGATAAGAAAGAAAGAAAGAGAAAATTAAAAGGAAGCAAAAAAGGCTTGAAATAATTTAGGCAACATTAATACTTAAGGAACAATAAATAAACGCTCTAAATAATTAGTACTGCTGCCACATTTTATTGAAAGTACTATAGCATTCTGTCACACAAACTAATTATTTGTAAATTGTTGTGCTACTAATTTTTTAAAATGCAAATCATATAAATAACAGCTACAAAATTTCATTTTTTGGTTTCAAAAAAGGTATCTGAAGATTGAAGTTTAGCAATTTACCAAGAACACAATTTTTCTATATATTCAAAATACAAATGTTAATAAGACTAATAAGACACACACATTTTAGCTTTGGAAGGAAACCTTTTCAGTGTAGTTTAAAACATTTCATACATTTTGAAGTGAAAGGAAGCGTGAAACCTAATAACACAACTCTAAGGAATGTAATCACCAAACTGTCAGAAAATGATGACTTCATAGTGAAATGTAATCAAAGGGCTGCACGTAAAAAGTAATTAACAGTCACACAATTGATTTTTTCCCCAAAAAAGTCATTGGATAGAAATTTCACACTTAAATTTTCCCTCACATTCTCTTTCCGCTGAATATAATATGCAGGGAGACAAATCGTCGCCTCAGAACAATTTAGTCCATTTTGTACTTAAGAAAAGAGGGCACTTAGGACAAAATAGTTCAGAGGCGACGAAATGATTATGAAATCTTCCTTATCCTTTCATGAAATCATGGGAAAAACAGACAGGCTGAATACTGTGAAAGCGAATTTAAAACAAATTTTAGCTAATAGTAATAATGTTTAAATAGACAAGTCAAAGTCTTAATCAGCAAGAAGTCCAGTCATGATATATCCATCTCATATCTGTCAGATGGAGTAGTGAAGTATGTCTAATCTCATCAAATGAACAAAACTATTTTTGCACACAATGACATAGTAGTTCTCCAGAGAAAATCTACAAAGACAAGATATGTTTCAACAAAAGCCAGTAACAGTACAAAGAACTCTTCGACCCTTCAAAACAGAAATACAACAGTACTGTAATCCAACATCCCCCGCTGATCTCAGTCAAATATCTGTCCTCCAAATGAATTCTAAAGCCAGCAGTCAACAATACATGCAGTTAAAAATTGCTAGCTCTAGACTTTGAAGAAGGAGCTCTCAAGATTTCAAATAAAGAAAAACTTATACTATACAGAACCAAAGCTAATGAAAAAACGCTTGAAAATCACACAAAACATCATTTGCTAATTCTGTGCAAACATTTCTAAAAATGTCATGTAGGCCTATGATAAACCACTGAAAATCGACTACTTGATCTAAAACCTAAGTTGCCTCTTGAATTTGGTTCCGTATAGTTGACAGCAGCTGTACTTCTTTAAACACTCAGCATTAATAATCACAACAGAGTGCAATAGTCACAACTACAGCAAAATATATGAGTGGGAGCACAGGAAAACCCATTGGAAGTAACAGACACTGGTTTTGGGTTTGGGTCGATTAACCCCTTCAATGCCCCACGACGTACCTGGTATGGCATGAAAATGCATAGATATTTCTGACATGACATACCAAGTACGGCTTGTAAACATCGAATTTCTCTGGTTCACCGATCCCTTTAAGACGTACTAGGTATGTCATAAATGTAACTGCCTAAAAGAATGTATTTCCAAAGCTATTCACATGTCTCACGGCAAGATCGATTTAGCATTAAAAGATGTGTATATCGATACCAATTTCTTCCCGATATCTTTACTGATAGCACTACAGCACACAAAACAAACACCATGTACAATCGTTCTTTGAGAGTTCAAGCGAACTTGCTCATTATAGGAGTCCAATGGCAGAAGAAAGAGAAAATTGTTATTTCAGATTTTTCAGCTGGAAGCCAAGTCGTCAGAGAGTGATGTTCAGGATGATTTCTACTCAGAAACAAACTATGCTGTGTCTACTAAAGAAGAGTCACCTGACAATAGTAATGATAGTGACATGTCAAAGTCAAAGGGTGCATCCATGATGCTGGCTTTCAATGGGCGCCACCAAGCTCAGATTTTCAACGTGAATGGCCAGACTTCAATGTGCAGCATGGTCTGTAGTTTGACCACACAGCTTTTGATGAATGGCATGATTTTCTGAACATTTTTCTAAATGAGAACTTCTGGACTCCACTTGTTACTGAAACAAACTGCAGGGCTGCTCAATTTCTGGCTCAGAACCCCAACTTTCCCAAACGTTCCTACTTTTGTCTATGGGAGGAAACCACCATTTCCGAGATGAAGAAATTCATTGGGCTTCAATTGCTAATGGAACATCTGTAGAGAGTCCCGATATTACTGCCCGAAGTGCCCCACAGAACCAGGGCTGTGTTTCGGGGGATGCTTGGAAATGTTTTATAACGTGCAAAACTTCAAATACTCAGGTCAGAGTCACCGTAATTCAACTGAGAATAATCAGATGAACAATGCTCATTTGTGTGTTGTATTACAATGTTAATTGAGCCTTGAAGGCTAGTTTTTATCAACTTTCATTAAGTTTAAATTAAAATGAAAAAAGAATTTGATGTTTGAACTGCAGTTTAGCCTGGCACTGAAGTGAAGCCAGTTTGTTGAGATTTTCTGGTCTACTTATAAATTATGTCACACAGTGTTAACACACGCACTAAAACATTTTTTGTCTCTCAGGAAATGGCAATGGAGGCAATGCAGAAAGAGCAGATGAAATCTTTGAAGCAGTCAAAAATGATCTGATAGAAAACATCGTACCCTTTCAACACTGCGAAGAACAGGTGACACAATATGAAAACCTTCTGATCCAGACACTCTAGTCTTACCAGAAATCATTCAATATTCTAGTAAAGGCAGTGCATGTCACCTCAAATTCACAAAAGAAAATATTGAAAATGTCATATTCCAATACATACAACTACGCAAATCTGAGCTTGATGTTGCAATTCTTGACAAGCTTGAATCTGGCACTCATTTAGACATGAAGACACTGAAATGAAAGAAGTCACAACAGACAGACAGAATTCAGTCTTGAATGGATTACTTTCATCATAATGTGAAAATCTCAAGAGAGTTTTTGAAGTTCCTACATTCCATTGGACAGGACAAAACGCTTCTCTAATTAAATAATAAATTGTAATAACTTTTCATCTGAGCATGACAAAAACTTCAAATAAAAAGCAAAATGTTAACAAATGGTTGCAGAATATATAAACGTTCCTATCTCAGAAAGGGTTTTGGAACCTATGTGACAGTTTTTCCTGTGCAGCCACACGCAAACAAATAAAAATGAAAAAAACTCATCACTGCTAAATCTTCCACCGCTTGGTGACAGAAACTTCCATTCATCACAGTTGTCATCAGCATTCCCACTTTTTGTACTCCAATCCGTCAGGTGGTTTCACCTCCACTGGCTTGGAGCCCACTTCAGACCAGTTAGTGCTCAGCACAGTTCCTCCAGACTCGGACTGAAACAGAACAATGCATGTGTCACGATACTGTGGAATCAGGCGCTCATCAATTTTGGGCATGTAGAGTCATGGGTATCACCGTAAAGCTTGTTCATTTGTCTATCTTTCCCATGAAAAAAAATATCCATCTATCTTTAATAGAAGTGAGGATATTTGCGATTGAAAATGGAGGGGTTGCCTGACTTCAGAGGTAAAATTAGTGAGAGAATAACCATCAGTTTGGTGATTTCCACAGCTTGAAAGTGCTTGGAAACTGAAAATTCACATTTTTTGTGCCTTTAATCAACATTTTTCCGTAAAATAGACTAAAAAATTGTCGCTTTTAAGCACAAGGGCGTTATATCGAAAAAATGTTGTTTTGAGAAAATCGAAGGTAAAGTTTTCGCCCCTTGTTCAGTTTTTTTAAAAGACAAGGAGTTTTCTCTATAACCAAACAAATATACACACCAATGAAATCAAACTTCTCCTATAGGTAGGGCAATGTCCACTTTTGGTGTAGGTCAAGATTTCTGGAAACCCCCGAATTTTGGGTTAGCCCGCTTGTCATTAAATGCTACCAAATATGTTCTTGATTGGACATAAAAGATTTCTCAAGCCAAAAAGTAAAAATTCGAAAAAGAAAAATGCTAAACCGGAAGACAAATGCCAATCCCTCCGATTTCATTATTTTGACGAGCGCCTGATTTCACGACAATGCCTCACATGTCATGTGACACAAGTTTGAGGGATGCAAAAAGTTTCTGGGCAACAAAGGAACCAACAAATTTTTCATACTCGAATAAGGCCCCCCCCCCCCCGCTTATTATTATTTTTTTTTAATGGCAAATTACCCGGTAGGCTACCTCAATTTTTTTTGCATTTTTAAAAAAACTTTTGTACATTGGTTTATATTTTTAAAAATTAAACTGGTTTGTTCCTATTTTTTTTCTAAGTTCAACATTGCAAGTACTGCAGAGCAAGAAACGTTAAAATCCATTCTCATCTTATAGTAAAAGCAACATGGAAATGTTCTCTTCACGTACGTGGCAGAATGACTGGCTTTTAGCCTGCAAAATAAATGTTACAGAGAATATTGTATTATTACAAAAACCAAACATAGATTTTTAATGTATTTGTGACACGATACAAAAGACAAGTACCCCATTAAAACAGCCCTTCCCACCCAACCCTTGCCTTGCCCGCCTACAAGAACAGCCCTGGAGACGAAACCATGCGTAAATATTAGAAAAATTGCTTCAGAACTTACAAAAGACTTCATCATGGCTTTCTTGGTATCATCGGAAGCGTCTGCATAGAGCTTTTGGAAAAATTGGTTGAGGCCTGCATCTCCGTCCAGTTTCTCATCCTTCTCTTCTTTAGTCACCTCTGCTGCTAGCTTATCCCAGTCTCGGGTATAATGAGATGAGGACGGATACTTTGGCACATCTCCCTCGGGTATTGGGGCTTTAGTGAGAACATGACAAAACAATAGAAAACATCAAGGAAAATGGCCTTGAAAGTTTGGTGACTTCCATAGTTTAAGAGTCTTTGGAAACTGCAAATTAAAATTTGTTATGCCTTTAATCAACGTTTTTCCATATAAATCCACACATAAAACTGTTTTTAAATCGACATACAAGGTGTTGAGTAAAAAACAAACAAAAAAAAGGGCCGAAAAAAGCAGATTTCTCGGATATCATTATTTTGACAAGCGCCTGATTTCACCACAATGCCTCGCATATACTACTGGTAAACATTTGAGTCAGAGAAAGAAGCTTCAAAGTTATAATCTCATTGACTGCAATGTGTTTTCTTCATGTCAACAAATGCCAGATCAAATGCAAAATGAAAATTACGAAAATGAACACGTTCTGCAATCATTAGACCTGCATGTGAGCCTCAACCAGATTGTCTGAAAATTTTGCGCAACCCCCCCCCCCCCATAAGAGCTTTTGTGGGTGTCACAATGAAGGACTTCCAAGTAACGAGCGAACACCCCAACAAACACAGAAGAGACCTAACCCTAACCCTACCCCTAGGCCTACCCCAAAAAAGAACCTGCAACGGGCCTCATGTAAAAAGGCCAGCACAAGTCCAAAATTTAAACATTTTAAAATTTTAAAAACTACACTCCAAAACAAACAGGGAGCATATTATGGCCTACATCTACATTGCTATGAAAGGGTTTGATACAGTAACACAATAGGATTGGAATATTAATCCTCCATATATATAGATTCTAGATCTAGTAATCTAAATAAATCTAGATCTAGATCTTGTAGAACAAGTGAATAGGAATAGGCCTTGAACTAGAAATCCGCATCTGCTTCCGAACAGAGGGACTCAGCTGAGTCTAGATATCTCTAGATTCTAAATTTATAATTCACGCACCTGATGAAATGCTTTTAACCAACATTAATATTACAGCACTACCTATGATAGGGTTTGACACAATAGAATTGGAATATGAATCCTCCATCGAGGTCTATAATGATCTATATAAATCTAGATCTAGATCTAGATTCAATTACAAGTGAGTCGGACTTGAATGAATCCACACGATCTGAACAATTGAATTAGTCAACAAACGAAATTCAAAATGGCCGCTCGAGCACGAAACTGAAAGTAGATAATTTAGGTCGTCGTCCTTTTTCATATTCGCATTTCTACTCAGGTTCCGACAATTATGTCGGAAACTCCGACATCGGCACGAAAACGAAAGTGCCGACAAAGCCGACGGGAGAAAAAGGGGGCGCTGGCAGTCGGCCAGGCCTCGCACTACGCACATTGACTGATACAGGTGGGCCTAGCGATAGCATCGGCCGGCTCGCGGGTCAGGTCGCGATTGTCGGATTTCAGACGATTATCGGCAAACATGCAGGTCTACATCATGTAACGTCACAAAAAGTCCAGAACAGATTCGATAGAAGAAAGGACAGAGGTAATCAAGCAGTGGTTTCAGCGAGGAGAAAAAAAAAAGCAAATAATGGCTGACACAGCACCACTATCACGCCATGCAGTAACAATGGTTAGCCAAGAAAAGGAAAAGAAAAAGCATGAAGAAGATCCGAGAAATGTCATTTTCAACAGACCCAGACCTAATCTCACTTCTGCCATATACATTTTGTAGTCCAATATTGGTTTCAGCCCTGTAGAAATAAGCAAACCAGGAGAAATAAAACCTGCAAGTAGGTGTTTGACTTGCACACATAACCATAGGTTGAGTTGACAATGTCTGTCACTGCAAGCACGAAAAAATCACAAAATCTGCATCTCTAAATATCACAGGAGCCATTCTGTCAAATTCGTCCAAGATGGTCATCCATAGTCCAGTAGAAAAGTGTTTGTCTTTGACAGGTGGATGTCTCAGACAATTTTGTTCATAATGTAGGAAAAAAAGGCAAGGGGGAAGTGAAAAGTGGTCGTTTGTACAGATGATTGTCATGGATAGTTGGCCGCTAGAGCAGGTTCGACTGTACTTCAGGGGAATTAAGTTTTCGTGAAATACATACAAACACTTACCTGCTGCTAGTGGAGTTACAGATTCTTTTTCTTCAGCAGATCCCTCTAGCTTGGGCCACTGAATACCTTCACTTTTCTTTAATTTGATTTCGACCTGGAACAAGACATGAAAAAAAAAAATTCAAAATAACCAGCAAAAAAAAATAGTTCCACCTTACAGGATTTACATTAGAAAAGCACAAATTGGAATGCTTACTTTCATACATTTACTGGACTTTTCAACATACAATTCTGATTGGATAAAGAGAAAGGTGTTTTCAGGATAAATCTGAAGCTGGATTTTAGTTTCATTCAAACTCAACTTTAGAAAACTTTCCCCACATTCAGCAGTTGTAATACCATTTAGAAAAAATTAATTCTTTTCAATATACATACAGTTTGAGCAACCAGAACTGTAGGACATATGAAACTGCTTAAGGGCGCTCGTGGGTTGGGTCTAGGGCCTCGGGGACTAATTTTCACTCTCTTTGAGCACTTTTTACCTTTGGTACTTTCCGATCCCTCATCCAGTCTAGGTTATATTGACACTAGTCACAGAGTGATTAACATTAACATAATTCAATTTGATTGGGTTCTACGTTGTGTACTAACATGTTCGATGTTTAACCCCGTTTTTCTCAAAACACACTTTCACCATTTTCAGCTTGCATATGCCGTTTTTTTCTCCACCACTTTTTATTTTCCAACACAGAGCCTTGAAATTAGGCATGTTTTTAGAGAAATGGTTTGTAATTGTGGTGGGTAGGTTAGTTTTTTACATTTTGCTTTAGAATGTTTTTTACAATTTTTTTTAAAGCCAAAAATATTTTTTAAAGATCAAATAATTCCATATCCCTAACTTTGAGAACAAATTGGGATACTTTGTAAGTATAGTACCAAAAATCAAAATAGCCAGCTGCAAGAACCTATCTATTTGTGATATCTTGCAAGTTACAGAAATTCTAAAAGTTAAAAACTGTAGAAATGGTCGAGACAAAAAAAATTATATCCGATTTTTTAGATGGCCGCCGTTTCAAAGACAAAGGCTTACTAGTCAAGTGTGTCAACAGTTAAACATGAATCTTTTGTCTCATACTTACTGCCTGTGTCAAAAGTTGTTTCAGTTTGCGTTTAGTAAAAAAAATTTTGCTTAAATATCGAGCCCCTTAACAAAGAGGTCGCAAATCCTGTTCTCCTTTCGTCTTCGTATTAGCCACTAGGATAAGTAGAACAAAAACAAAATCTAGTTTACCTTTGAAGCAAACAGTTTAGTCTGCGACTCTTGAGGAACCACTGTGTGTGCCAGGAAAAAGTTCAGATCCACAGGGGAGCCTTGGTACTCCTTTATTAGGACGTTCAGCTGACCGGAATAGAAGAAACGGATATTTTGTTTTTGTCATGAACTTACCACCATTAGCCATTAGCATTAGAAAATAGATGCAATGCAAATGCGAGCGAGAATTTTTCTTTCCCCCCTCTTAAGATCAGATGCATCTTTATTGTCCAGATACTGGCATATTGGTTTGGCGTTTCACCACATCACGTAACACACATGCACACTCACATCCATGTGCATGCGCACACCCATACACACACATACCCTCTCACACCTCCTTTGCCCCCCATACACATCTGTGCACATGAACATAAGCAGCCAAAAAAGAAAGACATAATCGCATTCTGAACAAAACTGACCTTGTCTTTTTGCCACAACAATAAATTACTGTGTTTGTCAACCTTCAAAGCAACACTACAATACTCCAGTGAGTCCAAATACAAAAAGCCAGACTGGCCATGGTACCCGAAGCTCATCAAAACAAAACAACATCCTCCCCCCCCCCCCCCCATTACAACTTTTTGTCACAATTTGAACCATGGAAGGAGAGGCACAACCTCACTGACAGTCAAAATGTTCGTGAAGTGCAAGAGATAAACAGGATATTTTAATTAAACAGACAAATAATAAGAATAATGACTGTTTTAAGATGTCCTTATTTGCTTTTACTAAAATAACGGCTTTAGCTTCAGCTTCAACCCCCCCCCCCCCCCCCCCCAGTACTTAACTAAGACAATTATGGTATGATGCTACCAACATGCCCATCAGAGCTTAACTCTTATCCTGCGTCTGTGCCCAGATGCGTATCTTATCAGCAACCGATTACGTCGGACTCGCCGGGCAGGCCGCCGGGGTCACTCAGTGTGTACTGTTGGTGTACAGCGCGCGTGCCGGGAAACGTGCTTTTTCGCCATGAATACCGCGGGAGTGTGTTAACTGATGATGAAAATGACGCTCTATCCTTCATAGCTTTCTATTTATAAAGTGTTACAAACACATGAATAACCCCCTCTCACAAGCTGATAAGACATTACGAGTAGTTACGCCCATTTGAATTTCCTTTCTGGACGCTCTTGTTGTTCTGAATGACCTGAGGTTCGAAAAGGGATAATTTAGGTCAATTTCCGAATGTTTTACACTCAAATTGTTCTTTGTACCTGCACAAGGGTATTCAAAACTATTAAACAAGCTCATCTTTTATCAGGTAGTATCATTTCATACAAAATCAAGCTCATTTGAAATATTTTGTATAGAAAAATGGAAGTCTTGTTTCCTAACTATCCTTTCGAGCTCCTCATGTCTAAGTGGGTCAATTTCTTCTATAATTTCATTGGACGAACATCTAGAGCTATCAACTTGGCATGTTTTGAATGAGACGTATGCCTCGATTACGAACCAACGCAGGTGGTTCTAGAAGAAGGCCACAAACGCACACAAACTCAAGCAGACTGACGCACACACACTTGACCTGCGTGAATGGGGATCCGACTCGGGACCCGAATGACACGTAAGAGGATGCGCGCTGCGCGTGCGCTGAGCCAGGAGCTACACTGACTCGGGACCAGAACGCAGGCGAGGTGCCGAAATAGGCTTATCGGGCTACATAAACCCGGCTCCCGCAGGATGAGGGTTAAATATTTAAGTATGCTATTCTACTACAAGACAGATTATTGATCTCTCCATTACGCTAAACCCAACTGGAGGGGGGGGGGGTGCTTCCACATCAAACAAACACATTAACATTATCACAAAAAAGGTAACAAAAGTCTAAATAATAAATTACAAAATACCAGAATACTAACCTTTCTGTCCTCCACGTCTACTGAAAGATTATCTTTCTTCACATTCTTTGCTAGTACAGTGACCACTACATGGGTGTGAGTCTGATACCACTCATGCCTGTAGCAAAGCAAAAAAACAAACATTCATAATATATATTTGTTAAGACCGCAGAGGGTTCCCAAATATAACATATGCCATACACACAAACAATAATATATACATATATATATGGGAAAGTTTGTAAAAGTCTAGCCAACAAAAACAAAGAAAATGGTCCACGCAGGTACATTCAACATATATTTAATTATTTTTTCCCTGTAGCCATTTGAATTCAAGCATTTTGACCTGTACCTTAGATAAAGACAGTTTTCACTTCATGAATCAGCAAGCAAATAAATGATACATATCTATTCATGCATTTTCAATCTCAACATTTGTGTGTCCATGATATCAAAAACATGCTACTTTTAGTGCTAGCTAACAATCCGCTCTGCAGAGAAGGGTCCTTATTCTAAAGATTCTGAAACTCCTCAAACAAAATCGAGCTATTCCTATCACTGAACAAAGAAATTGATTGTCAAAACCACCTCATTGGCTCCCAAAATACCAATCCTCTGACCACACTATTCTACCATTTTTCTTTGTTATTCCCCGTCATAAGCATATTTTTCTGAAACACAAGCAGCACATAGAAAAATCAAATCTTCCTTCCCACGCTTGCTATATTTGTCAAGTTTGGGATCACTCTTGGACTAGCAATGAGCTTAAAACAAGTAAACCTGATATTGTGTGTCCTTTGACAAGAGCTGGTGAGTCTTGAGAAAAATGAATTCCACAAGTCAAGACTCTCAACCACACATTCCTCAAGGTCCAGAACATAATGTTTGTAAGTTTACCGAATTAAAAATTGATTAAGAATATTTCTAAAATGTGCTCTCCAAGACATTTAAGGCAGTATTTTCATCCATGCACTAACATATATCAATAGCTGCCAACTTTTCAAAAATAAAAAACGAACTCTACCCTCAAGGCAGGTCAAGATGGTGAGCATTGACCAAGTAACCCCCCTCCAAAGCCTTCACACATATTTTTCTGCATTCAATAAATTCACACTCAACAGCTAACTATGATATCAAACACAACTAAATTGACCTATCCACTTCATTCTCATTATCATTTACAAACGTCTTCTAGATAGTTCATAATTTTCATACAGCAGCGGCAAGTCCATGAGGAGTAATACCCAAAAAAACCCTCAGAGAATACATTTTTTAAACACAAAACCAGACTTCTGCACTCAGACCCTCAAAAATGTATCAATTACTTTTGTCATGTACAGGCTGGCAGCTATTCGTGTCTTATTTCAACTAAACAAAGCAAAGATGAAGCAAGGGGCAGGTCACTCACCTCACTGCTGACGGAGATGACGCACACGCTGCTTTCTCCGCTGGTGCTGGTTGTGGTATTTTGGGGCTCTCAGTTTCTGCTTCAGGAGAGAAAGAAGTATGACAAAAATTGGAAATCTGTCCCCACTTCTGGAAAAGAAGCAATTTTATATCAGGTGTACACAGCCAATCGAATTCGTTTGATTCAGACGTGGCTGGCCAGATTTTCCTTCATGGATAGGGCAATAGCGACCCTTTTGGCACAATTTGACCGAATTCAACTAAATTCAATTGACTTTCAAAATCAGATGCCACTGTTTTTTAAAAGTCGCAATTCTTATTGGTCATACAGGGCCAAAATAGTAGCTTCTGCCGCTCCATGAAGGAAAATCTGGCTGGCCTCCATGGAATTAACTGAATTCAATTGGCAGTATGCACTGGGTGTCGTACATTTTTAAATTTTTTTTTAACGTTAACTTAATTTTTTTTTAAAGACAAAAATGTTATTCCTCAGTTTCCTTAGCCCTGATTATTCAGCCCAGTTTTATAACAATGACAATGTTTTGGATGTCTACGAACATTCAGCAATTTACTGCTAAAAAGGGGGACTTTGATTATGTGCATGCAAACATTTTTTTAATAAAAAAAACTGATGCATTTTTGGAATTCATCTCACAATTACAACAACAAAATATAGCTTACCAGAAATGTTTATTAGCAGAACAGAATTTCCTATCTATCTGTCCCCATGCCTCAGGCTGAATTTATCAATTCTAATTAAGGAAACATCAGCAAGGGAAGAGAATGACAGCCTTACTTCAGCAATGGAAAAGAAAACTTACTTGGACTCGGAAGTTTGTCCTCACATTTCTTGATCCAACCAACATACACACTGTCAGACTCTGAAAACAAAAAGGTAAAAATGAGGTGTTCAGTAATTTGACCACATCTCTAACAAAAAAGGCATAAGTCCATTTCGTAACAAATAAATAGCGGAATTTTGAGATCCATGTTTTAGTCTGCAATCATAAGCATAAAATACCTTAAATCCTCAAATGGAGCAAATAAAATGTTGATGAAAAGATCAAAATACAACTCAGCTCTTCTCTAAAGACTGAGATACATATTGGCTGCTCAGTGTAAGACTATCATCATACATAACTTTTCAAAATGGCGTATGGCGGAGTCTTCCATTAAGCAGTATATATATATATATATATATATATATATACACACACTGGCACTCTTGCTACATGTAACCCTGCATTCTGTTTACAGAAGGACTTAATGCATGAAGGGGGAAACATTCCAGCACCCAACAAGCCAGATATCAACACTTTCCCAGTACATTGTGATTAGTTCTTTTTGATTGTCTTTAAAAAAAAAAGTGCCCTGGAATACTACATTCTAATCAGCATTCTATCACTGACGTCTTCCAGGTTGACATTTAACCCTTGTTTACTGAAAATTGATGATCCTGTCTTTACACCGACGCAGGAAGGGCACAAATTGAGTTGCACAGTAACAGGACGTGAAGCCTGTACAAAATTCCATCCTCAGGCTGAACAATCAACTTTCACTACATACAGTCAAACCACGTTATACTGAGGGTAATCAGGGCCATTTAACATGAGAACTCTATTAAACCACCAGCCTTGGTATTCCGCCAACTTTTTGCTTGTAACAACTGTGGCAGTATAACTCATGTACAATGAACTCAATGAAAGATTCGGAGGTGATTAGAAAACTTATTAACTTACCAAATCGTTTTTGCCCTTCCTTGAACACATCAAGAGCTTTCCCTATCTCATCCATTTGAAAAAGAGCAGTTCTGAATAAAGACAGAAAACAAATATCATTGGAAAACATATGTTGATAATATATTTGATAAAGATAAAAGTATTACAATTATCTGTTTTATTTCACTAATCCCCACTCTCTATGAAATATAGAAACAGATTAAATTCTAGGGGTTTTTTTACACACTGCACAGGTGCCAACTGAGCAATGAAAAAATTCTTCAAATTCTTCTTCCCCGAGGAAACACGCACAACACAGGGACTAAAAATTCACAGATCATATAGTCTTGTAAATCTTGTGTCAAGTTTTCACGATGACCGACCTGAAGTCAGGTAAAATTTGGACAATTTCAGTAAAGATTTCCAAATATATCTGGAAAACCATTGCCCCTGACACTACAACTAAAGGCTTAGTAAACTTAAAGTTTATACAGTAGATACAACAAAGAAAAAATGCTGGAATGCCTCTTCTTCCATCCTGGACACACAATACAAAAGGAAAATTAGAAGGGCATTAGGCTTTTCAAATTAAAAAAATGACAAGATAATACTATTTGGTAGAAAATAGACTAGAAGTCTACAACTTCTGGAAAGTGCCATGTATTCCTCATTCTTATAGTGCCATGTAGTATGTAGTCTTCATTCTCACAGTATAGTGCCATGATGCAGGTGAGTTTCGAGTTTGAGAAGGGATCTTACACCTTGCCATAACAGCAAGCCAATGAAACACTCAAGGACATTCAAAATAAACTTTTAAAAAGCCATTACTTACAGGAATACATCTCACTTGTAATTATGATACACTTAGTAAACCATTAAATAAAGGGTGGGGGGGAATAACCAGGACAGCCTTTTTCTTTTTAAATTAGAGTTCACAAACTCCACGTATTACTCACAAAAGTGAAAATCCTGCGTATTCACCAAACTATAGAGGTGTACTTCAACATGAATATCACCAGATATGTTTTATTTTCACTGAAAGTGGTCGAGCAAACGCATCCTTTTTACCTGAGTTTAATAACGTTATAAGCGAGCCACCCTCAATGGTGGAGTTTTAAAAATTAATCAACTTCATAGTGCATGTTTCATTTCCAATTATTTTCTCAACTTGAAAATAGGGGGAAAAAAGAAGTCAGTACAGAAAAAAAACATTTAATTGTTGCTAATTTGTTTTAGGGTACCTTCTAAGAATGGCTTAAATGAATGCATAAAATGGAGATTTAACACCAAAAAATAATTGTCTTGTATACGCATTGAAAAACGAGATAAAGGCACTTACCAACCAACAACATCCACAAGCAAGCACATGACCAATAACACAAAACACATACTAACAATGTTAAAAACAACATTTCATGTTATTCACCCTTTCTTTATGTAAGCTTTGCTGTTATTCTCGTTCAGCTTCATGGCTTGATCACAATCAGCAGCTGCCTCTGCAAGAGGGAAGATCACATACAAATTAGACCATCATAAGGGCAAATGCATATTTTCATAACAACAGACTCTGCCAATACACAACTAACTCTAAAAGAGAAGCTTTCTTTATGATGTAAAAAATTCTCTGAAGGCCTAATAATACAGAGATTATAAGACATCAATTACTTGACACCAAGTGAACATACAATTTCTTGAATCTTTCTAACTTAAAACTGATTATGAAAATAACGACAGGCCTAAAATATGTTCGGCCAGAGACAGCCTTACATCATTCTTAAATGAATTATAAATCATTATAAAATCTTTCAGCAAATTTTGAACTTAATAGGTAATAACTTAGTAAGGAAGATAGACATGAAAAATGAAATAAAGGCATCTTGAATGAGCTCACCTGAATACTTCCCAAGCTGGATTCGAGCTTGTGCTCTATGGCAGTAAATGTCATCCCGTCCGCCATCCAACGCTATGGCTTCTGTATAAAGCTGGTAAGGAAAAAGTGACATGGTTTTATTTAAATGGAAAGGATAATGAAGACTGCACACAAATATTCTTCATATAATATATGACACGACAAAGAGACACAGAAATGAGTTTGGTCGTGGATGGTATGCTACAACTTGAAGGCTCCTGTCAGTTCTCATAGATAAGAGAGACATAAACTCAATGTGCTCACAAGTAATTGATTCCCTGACATGACTAATGCCAGGTGGTTGGAAAGCCACGGAAGCTCCTCAAACACTCAAATTTAAAAATTATGTACAACAGATCTTTCAAACAATTCAAGTTCAGTCCAGTTTTAGTACAGGGAAGACAGAACAATGTAATAAGTGCCATATTTGTCAGGAACAGGTAAGAATAATTAATGTATAGTTGAAATTTTCCTAGAGAAATAAAGGGTTCAAATGGAGTAGATCCCACCGAAGGCAAGACTAGCATGAAAGTGAGAGAGGGGACGTGAGACAAAAAGAGAAGACTTGAGACTGTTGATTTCCGTTTGAAAGTTCAAAGAAAAGGGCAGAATGTATGTACAATTATCGAAGACAAACAAACTGTGCAAAAAAGAAGGGACAGTCTGAGCTCAGCCACAAACATAATAATTCGCCTCTATAGCTTTGAAAAATTGCACACAGTAACATAAAACAATTCACAAAAACTTCCACTTTCCCAGACAAAGCATGTGGGCCCTGGGGTTGCTGAATTAAAAACATACCAGTTCAGCATTATTATTATATTCTATGCCCGCATGACCTCATGCAGTTGCGAGCACTATAAAACACTTACCAAAAAAAAATATATCATGATATATATTCTGCATATTGTAAAGTAAACAATATTATTTGCAACATAAGCCTCACCTCCACCGCCCTTTGGTAATCTTCATCCACATATTGCTCATTCGCTTGCCTGTGAAAACAAAGAAATAAAAAAACAGGTGATAATTTTCCAAAACTACCCAAATCTGTTGGTTGGCCCCTAACTTAGCACATGATCTACATAAAAGTATCCAAATTGAAAATGTCTATACTTAAAAATATACATTAAGTATTACAGGGGTGTTGCAGGTATTCTAAGCATTACATGTTTTTTTTTTAAACCTTCTTATTTTATACAGATACACCTGTCCAAGACAATCATAACATGTACAAACAACCACTTCCCACTTTAAGTTTTCCTTACACATTATAATGGCACTGACCAAGATGCCAACCTATCTAAGACAACCACTTTTCTCTTTGAAAGTAGGTTGCCATTTCGGACAATTTTGTCTGTTATTGTATTTCAAAAATCTGACTTTAATGTCTCTGGCTTACCTTTCAAAACATGTTTCAGAGTATACACACTTTTACAGAGAAGAGCTTTTATCCAAAACCATCATTAACCACAGCAATCAGTCTTCTACTCTTTAACATTTTGACAGGACTTTCTTAAAATTTAGTTTTAGTAAGAGTTTTTCGCCACTTGCAACACAATAAGGTCATATAAGTGCCAAAGAATAGATCATGTGTTACAAGAGAGTAACATACACAAAAAAGAAGGATGGGAGATAAGGATGACGAATGTTTGACTGTTTGATGGGAAAGAAGGAACAAACCCCACCAGAGCACCCGCCAGCCACCCACACTTTTCAAAAATGTAAAGTGCATTAAAAAGTTTGAATTTGCATTCTGCGCACTACAAACTAAATATCAGACTCTCAGGGCTAGAATTAGGTGCTCAGGAGGGCAATAAAAAATTGCCTCGGTGAGGCCAAAAAATTAAAGGGCACCGAGGCAATTTGCTAGGGCACCGGGGAAAAATTATAGGCGATCATTTGGTTGATTAAAGCTGGAATAAAGGATCGTGAATCCTAACATTTATATAAATAACAATACGTATTTATTCTTGCTCTCTAACAAAATATAAAGTTTATTTGTAAAATATTGAAGCCTAAATTAAGCTCTATATATGTACATGTATCAAAAATTCACACACTTTTCCATCCCTCTATCCTCCCCCAAACACACAAACACACATTCACATAACACAACATACACATTAATAAACGGGGCTACAACCCAAATACTTTTATACATGTACCCCCCCCCCCCCCCCCCCCCCCCCCCCCCCCCCACAGATTTTTTTTGGGGGGGGGGAGTGGTGGCTCAAAACTATATATTTGTTTAAATAAAGCAGCAGTCATTTTCTGTTTACCTAAAGACAAAATCTCGCTGCTACAATAAGGATGATCCTCCTATGAACAGAGCACAATAATGACTAGATCTAGATCTCTTGTGTAAGTAAAACTCATTCATACTCTGTTGGTACCGGTAGTCCTATTGGGAAATGGTCAGTTATTTGAGTTCATATGCCAGCATAAAGCCGTAGATAGTACAATACAGTATCAATATCTTACTATTCAGTGACGAGTGAATCTAACTTTTTGCATTTTTTGCTGCTTTCACTCAACTCCAAATTCCGTTCTTGTTTTGGCATGGTGTAGATTTTGGTCAAATAATTAATAAAACTACAGTAACTTCATGAACAAAACACACAAGAAAAACTTCGAGACTCAAGAGTTACAGTTTTTGGCAGTTTCCAAGAAATCATCTGTTCAGCAGTCTTCATTTATAGGTCACATTATTATGATTTGTAAAAATTTCTCCTTTGGGCCTTCTAAATTAGCTCAAATATATTTACACCTACATTTGTAATTTTAAGCCCCCTCCCCCCC